AAAAAATGAGAGTGCAAATTCAAGTTTTTCACAAATAACTTACTTTTGGTATGATTGTTTTATTTTATAAAGGAAAAAAAGTATAGATTATAATCATGATATTTTAACGTCTAAAGAAATTTTGATATAATAAACAGAATAATAATAAAACGAGCCCGTTTATCATTCATATCTCAACTTGCATATAAATAATATGCAACTCATTTTCAATAACATTTCACGTTATCATTGACTTATTATATTGCTAATGTGTATGGAAGACCTTTTATCTACAAACAGAGACTTATATTTTTGTTATGGTTTTATTAACTTCCTTTACATAATCCTTATCCATCAATAAGAAAATATTTATGAGGAAAAAATGGATGAAAGACGGAAAGTGCAAGCATTTGCCATAAAAAAAAAAGAAAAGGTCCAGGCATGTAGAAACTACACATTGATCATCTTGTGCCATGGTACTGCACAAAAAAGTGTACACAAGCAAACCCAAATCACATGGCATGGAGCAACAAGACATGGTCATTTCCCCTATTCTTCTAGCTCATATGGCAAACATTTACTCTCAACAGTCACTAATTTCTCTTAAACTATAGTATTATGCTTCTACACATGATAATAATAATCATAAAAGACAATTTCGAAGAAAATCAACAAAAAGAAAACATATCACTTGACTCCATTTCCCGGGGTTGAGATAGCAAGATCAGGCCAAGGAAAGCAATCACCACCAACAAACCCAGTTTCTCCATTCTCAAATTGCCACGTGTTTCCCATCCCAGCTGCAGGCGCACCATTGGATCCAACACCAGCAGCACCTTCTCCCACCCCACCAAAGGGCCAAACACCTCTCCCAAGCCCAAAATTCACATCCTCAAACCCGGAACCAAGTCCGAGCCCGAACCCGCCCAGCGCCAAGAATCCCGGACCCTGCGTACTCAACAAAGAAGTAAAACTCCCGCACATTCCTCCGTTCCCGTTACCCTTCATGTCACCACCAATGCCAAACGTGCCCTGATTGGCTGCGAGGGGCACCAAAATCTGGGTGGCGGGTAATGTGAGATTATGGCCGTTGCTGCTCGTCGCGGTGGTTACAAGGGAAGAGGTGGGAGAACCGCCTATAGCAGTGCGAGATCGCTTAGCATTCTTGCGGGTGCCACCCCCGACGGGGATATCGCGGAGGGTGCCACCGTGGGTCCAGTAACGGCGGCAGGATTTGCAGAAGTGACGGGGCTGTGAGAAGTTGTAGTTGTTGTAGTAACAGAATTTGGTGTTGGTGGAGTCGCAGCGCGGACAGGGGAGCTGTTCTTGTTCCGGTGGCGGTGCTCCAGGGTTCTGGGGCTTGGTTAAGCGCCTGGTTTCAGCGGAATCCGATGGCATTTTTCGATTATGAAGTGGGTTTAAAGCAATTCTAGACTCGGTGCTGCTTGTGGGGGAGAGGAGCAATGGGGTTTTATGGGGAGAATCTGTTGGGCAAAGGAAACATTTTCTGTGGGTTATATGAGCAGGGTAGAGCAGGCTTTACAGTGTTCAGTTGGGCACGACATTTCAGATGGCTGCAGAATGGGGTCGGGGCTGCACGCAGCTAGGTGCGCGGCTTGTTATTTTCCAAGTTTACTTATTTTCTTTGTGAATTAATGCAGAAAATGGAAAATGAATAAGTAGTCAGTAATAGGTCGTATCACTTGCTTTTCATAATCATGGTACACTTCCACTGTACTAGCACAGTAGTACCAGCACGATATATTAATATTCAAACAACATAAACATAAATATAAGCCGTAACAATGTTCAAAAAAAAAAAATTATATAAGCCGTAACAGTAAGTTATATAAATAACTTTATAAAAATTTTTTATTAAAAATAAAAAATTTTTACTTTAAATCGTATGAGGTAAGAAATAAGGTGGGATGAGATGAATAATAAAAAACAATTACTACTTATCATGTAAATAAAAAGAAAAAACATAAGTAGTAACATAAACATAAGCACTTGCACTGTTGATTGAGCACCGTGAACTTGACTGTGACTAGGGTTTAAATCCGATATTTGTAAAGATAAAATTCCTCTATTTCTTGAGGCATTATAATTAAGAGTTTCAGTTTTTATATTAAAAATTTTAAATTTAAATTGTAAAATTAATAAAAAAATTTATTTTTTATTATATAATTTATTTTGTATATAATTCTCAATTCCCAAAATTTTACCAATAATTAAAATAATGTTTCATTCTACATTTACTTATAATTTATTTGCTTAACAAACATACAATAAATTTATGCACATATAATATCAGTTAGATATTATATTGATTTCTATTTCAATTCAAATACTTGCTTTAAAGAAGAAGAGATTATCATTATAATCCAAGTTTCATTAAGCAATTACATATTGCAAAACTTTATATCATATTAAGATTCGGTTTTAGGGCGGTGCAATATTAATTGATATAGGGGATTAGGGAGACTATATATTCTCCCCAATTTAATTGGGAGAACCCTTTTTCCTTATATATAGGGTACACAATTACAAAGGTGGATTCCAAATGAGCAAAGTGTAAACTTCCATAGTCCATTACAATTTTACAATGGGAATGGCTATAAATTTGAGTTTGTTTTGGTCTAAAGTTAGGAAACGGCAGTTGGATTGTGCATGGGGTGCCCGTGCCAAACAAATTTGAAAGAGGCTACGAGGGCAACGACAAATGAGCTAAATAGCGTGGAGGAGGAAAAGATTGATGGGTTGGGACAGGGTACAGACAGAATCATGAGTGTCGGGCAGCGTGGGTGCAATTATTGGGTCTTCCCTCTGATTTCGGACGCGTCATGTCCGCATCAGATTCCTCCTCCGTACTCCCTCTCCAATCTCTTGCCGCGTTTCACGCTCCACTGTTCCTCTATCTCTCCCCCTCTGTTCCCCTATTCCTCTTCAACTCATCCTCGCCCTCCATTCCTCCCACCGTATCTTTGGCCCACATAATCAACGGCTACCTTGTTTAGGCCGTGAATCCGTTATTTTTTTCTTGTTTGGTGTTATAGTTAAAATTAGGAAACAGTAAACAGTAAATAATAAATAGTATTAATAAGTAATAGATAGTAATTAGTAAATGATAAATAATAAAAAATAAGTAGTGAGAAATAGATAATAAATAGTAGATTTGATAGATATAATTTTTAGTTATATAATAATTGATCATTGTTATTTAATATTAAATAATTAATAAGAATATATTTAAAAATAATTAAATATTTTTTTTATATTTGTTATTATTAAAATTATTAATTTTATAAAAATAATAATAAGAAAATAAATAAATGAAATTAATTATAAGAATATAAGCACACACTCAATTTTGTTTTCAATAAAAAAATTTATATTATTTTTAAATAAAAAATGTTTAATCATTTTTTAATTAGTAAATTTTATTTATTAAGTTAATATATTTTTATGATAAATTAATGTAAAAAAATAGAAATATAATAATCACTTAATGTTATTAAAAGTAAAAAATGAAATTGAAACTTTTAAATAAGTATTAATTAAAAATTATGATAAAAATTAAAAAATTAAAAAAGATAAATTTATTAATAAAATTAAAAAATTTTATTTCGTTAGCGGTTACACCTATCTTAATTGTTTAGATAAAACTATTAATTGCTTCTCCAAAACTACTATACTAAACTAG